TAATCTATTACATTGCTCATGACATCAAAGTTCAAATCTGGGAATTGTTTGATATGCATTCAGCATATAAGGAAATCTAAACCAAAAAGAGAAAGAATGTGATTAAATCTTAAGCAAAAAGGGCAATAATCACTGTTGATCTGTCAAATTCTTAATCAGAGATTGCATACTGATTTTATGTTAATTTCGTAGGAAAAATAGACAAATTGGAGCTAAAGAGGAAAAGCTAAATTGAAGGCCCACGCTCACAGCGTGGGTATGACGCCCATAGAGTGAAGAGAGCCCTTTCACACAGAGACAACCACGCTACTAGCGTGAGACTCACGCTAGTAGCGCCAGAGGTCCAAAAAATAGGCAGAAGCTACCACGCTACTAGCATGGGATTGACGCTAGTAGCGCCAGCCTTTTTCACAATCCACGCTTGCAGCGTGGCAGCCACGCCAGTTGCGTGGTGCTCCAGAATATAGAAGAAAAACTCCCACGCTCACAGCGTGGGAACCACGCTAGTGGCGTGGGAGGTGCAGACAAATCAACTTAAATCTTCGTTTAAATCAGAGACAAGATTACAGTGAGATGCTGAAAAGATTAGTCAAGATTCTCCGCCAGGTCAAAGACTCTATAAATAGAGACTCAGACCTCAAGAGAGAAAACACTTTTGCACAGAGAGGAAGACGGAGGCAGAACGCAGAGCAAGCTTCTTCTCCAATTTTCTGGTTTTATTATTTTATGAATTCCTTTGAATATTTTGAATTGTCAGACATGAATATGTCTGGCTAGTCTTTTTATATTGTGGTAAGGGTCACAACCCTTGATGTGAACCCCTTGTAGTTTGGTTAAATTTATATTTAATTATTTCAAATTGCATTTATTTTATCATGTTCTTCATCTTTTAATTCTTTTAGAATTGATCATTCTATTAGGATTGCGAGGGTTAGGGTTTTCAATAGGAATATTGGGATTCTAGTTCCTGACAAGGGTAAAATAACAGTTCATGTATGCACTAGGGATAGACTACATGAACTGCAAACGTGGAAAATTCACTGTGTTAAAAGATTAACTTGAAAAAGGATTTCTAAGGGATTAAGATTCTAATAGGGTTAATAAAGTTAAGATCACTAAGGGATTAAGGCTTAACTAATTAATTATTAGATGGTGAATTGTTTGATCAATTGGGTAATTAAATATAAATATTAATCAATATTACAAGGTGGGGATCGGAAAGGTGTTGGAGTCCTTTACTGCAATATCTTTTTATATATTTTTCTCAAACTCTCAAACTTTTTACTTTAAGTTTTCAAACTTCTCTTTGAATTATTCACGAAATACTGAATAGTTCACAATTGTTACAAACACCATTACTTTCAAACCAACTCTTGTTCATCCAATAAGAAAGGAATAGTTAAAATAAATTCGGTGCCTCAATCCTCGTGGAGACAATCTCTACTCACTATTTTATTACTTGGTACGATCGGTGCACTTGCCAATTTTACGCAACAACTGCACGGACCAATTGGTCCGACTCTCAGCCAAGAAGCTGAGCATCTCCGCTCGCATCTTACTGTATGTGATATCTCACATCATTCTCCCTAGGCATTCCAACTATGCCATTGTTCATGAGAATGATCTATTCACCATGTGGGCTATTCGCAATCAGCTCCTCATTGACTGGCGCCACACTTTCTGCTGTCAGATGCGAGACGCATCATATGGCTCCACTACCCATCTGCATACCCTATGCTCATTCAGCGTATTTTGGAGCTTAAGGGTGTACCCATGGATGGTGAAGTAAAAAAGAAGCTCATGCCCGGTCACAACTACTTTGGAGAGAAGCTGCTGATGAAGATGAACATCATCCGCTTACATGGTCAGTGGCAATGGGATGATGAGGCCCTGTATGGTGATGCCTTAGCCGACGATATGGATGAGGATTTGAGCACTCTGCAGGCTGCTGATATGCCAACAGATTCCTCTGCTGCTGCGGTTTCGCTTCCTCCGCTGCCATCTCCGCTCACCTCTCAAGGATAGACTCCATATGATATCATGCTTTACCTTCAGCAGTAAGAAGCTGCCCATATTGCCTTTCGTCATGATATCTCTACTCGTCTCACTCGCATTGAGTCCTAACTTGGTCTTGCTTCTCCTGCCAGTGGTGATGGTGCTTCTCGTGACGATCATGCTAAGGGTGATGAGGCTACTGCTTCCTACGAGGACACTTCCAGTGATGAGCATCTTCCTATAGCATCTGGCTCCGAGGATGATTCTTAGTCTAGGGTTGCTTGTTGAAATTTACTTAGCTAGACTATGATTTTTTTTGGACGCTTGTACTCTTTTTGTTTGACGATATGTTTGAGTACTACACGTATCTATTTGATGTATATATCGCTTTTTGCTTAATGATATGCATCGTATTTTCCTTCAAATTTGATCGCACTATTTCATTGCTTGCATGCTTAATTACGATATCTTCTTTATTGGATTACTTGTTTCCTTTTGATGTTGCCAAAGGGGGAGAAATGTGTATTAAATTAAGAAATATTCAATTAATCACGTTGAAAGGTAAATAGGGGGATATATTGAAACTTAATCAACCATACCAGGATCTAAGGGGGAGTATCGAATTTCAAATGAATAAATTTATGCAACACTAACTCTCTTTCTCAATTTAAAGTTTGTCATCATCAAAAAGGGAGAGATTGAAGAATCAGAGTGATGATGTGGTTGCCATGTACTCAAAGTTAATACCTTGATGATTCCACATCTACATAGTTTTGATGATAACAAACAAACTCAAAGAGGAATGCTCAAAGACAAAGCAACATCCAAAAGAAATCAAACAAATGTGAAAGCATGCAAATCAAGCATCAGATCAAGTCAAAGATCTCAATGGTATATTCATTTAGGACTTAGAATTAATATGTAAAGGTGTATATATTCTAGCATTGCATGAGCTCAAGTCATAGATTTAGTTACCTAATCATAAAGTGCTTAAAGAACCTTGATCTAACAAGTCAAACATGCATTTCAAGGTCTTTGATATAACTTAAGCAGCCTTTGCACAATGCAGTCACACTTATTCATGATCCTAATTTGCTCCTTTATTTTTAAAAGAATGCATTTTCAAAGAAATGACAAAATAAATGGTTTGATATGCCCAAAATTGGTTTGGAAAGGAACCTACATGATATAAACACTTCTAGACATATTCCATAACCAATTACATGCTTTCCATGTTGTAAAAACCATTTTTGAATGAAAATAAACTCAGAATTCGTGCAAAAAGTGAGCTGCCATGAAATATCCGCATATTGCACTGAAAATATCCAGATATGTGCCTAACAAATATCCGGATATGTACGGATCAAAACGGCTATAAACAGCTAGTTTTCAAATGAGGTGTCAATATGAATACCCACATCAACAATGATGAACATGACACGACCATAGATCAATTATTGAACCTTTATTACTCTTTCTAGCCTATTATTGCTCATTAATTACTCACTTTGATCATTGCATACACTTGAGCTCATCTTTCTTTTGAAGCTATACACCTATTAGTTCTTCAATTTGTAAAATCTGTACTTTGAGAGTACTTAGCCATTCTTAATCACTTCAATCTTACTTCTTGAATTGAGAGGGGAGTGAACCCTTGTGTAAGTGAAGGAAAAATGTTAGTATCCAAGTAACCGAAGTCTTGGAAGAATATTGTAGTGGTTTGTTGAGCACCCTTGAAGCTCAACCGAATAGTGAAGGTTGACAAAACGGTTTCAGTCTGGAAATAGGTCACAGTGGTGGTGACCGAACCAGGATATATCTCGTTTGCAATATCTCTAACCTTTATCTTTGCATAAGCATTGTTAGATCATTTGAGCATATTTGATTTCATATATTGTCATTTATTGACTTGAATTATTTGCTATTATTTAGTCTCTTTGTGTAGTAAATTATTTGAACTCAAGAAAATCTTTTTCAAAAAGAAAAGTGAGGCATTTACGAAAATATTTTTAAAACTCAATTCACCCCTCTCTTGAGTTTGAGGCTATTTGTCCAACAATACTTACTTGTTGAGATTCAGTACCACAACTTTGATCTTCTTTTCTTCTTCCATGAGTTGCTGTCCTAGTTTTGTTCCTTCTCAGCCTTGATATTGAACCCCTCTTTCCAAGTCTTGCTCCCCTTTGAAATTTCCAGCTAAAGACAATAGAGAAAAAAAGGGAGAGATGGTGATACGAGAGTTTGGGTGAGCGGGGAGACAAAATAAAATGTTTAGTTGAGTAGAGATAGTGGTAGTAGGTGGGTCTAATGAGAAACAAAAGAAAGTGTGAAGGAAAAAAAATCTGAAGTGGGTGGTGATGAGGAAAAATCATGGGAAAAAAATTATTTCAACTACTCCACTACATTATTTTTTTTCTTCTAAAAGTGGGGTCTTACATCTACACCCGTGCAAGAATAAGAATTTTTATATCCCAAATTAACGGTTAACCTTATTTTAATAGTTCTAATTTATTGAATATGTGAATACACATAAATCAATAAATGCAAGTAAAATCAATTAATTATAATAAGTAAGTATTTTTATTCTTGCACGATAAAATTCACCCCTCCCCAATATATATGAATTCGTAAATTAATACAATTCCTTGTAGAGTCGAAGACATTAATTAACTTAAAATTAAAATTGCAAGCGTTTTCTTTTTATAATGACGTGAGAGAGTTGGGCCAATTTCATGTAAGAAGAGTTGAGCTGGGTTGATGATAGTACATAAGAGCCCAACCCAAATGAGCTCTTGCAATGTTTTCTTTCTTTCCAAGCCATACAGAAGTTACTAACTGCTATTAAAACATAAAACGTCTTGTTTCTTTTCTTCATTCTTCGCAGTAACTAAGCACCTCTCTCTTATCTATGAATCTCTCTACTCACTTCTAAACTAACCTACGCTGATCATCAAAGGTACAATGTCTTTATTATCTTCGGATTGATTTTCCCTCTTTCGTTTCTTACCACCTTTTTTTAATTTTTAATTTTTAATTTTTAATTTTTATTTTTAATATTTTATTTTTTATTTTTTATTTTTATTTTTAACTAACCTGTGTGCCCAGATCAAATTTCTGAAGCTCTGGTGGGAAAAGAATAGATTTTTAATACCAAAATAGAAATTTTCTTTCTGGGCAATGTATATTTTTTTTTTCTTTCTTTATTGTTGAAATTTTTGCTGAAATTTTCAGAGGATCGCAATTAGAGTTGCTGGGGTGTGTGACAATTTTGCGTCCAGTTTGTTATTTTTATTTTGAAAGAATAATGCTTGTGGGGTATTATTATCTTGTGTTTGCGTGATTTCGTTTTCAGGTCCATTGGAGTTTGAAGGCATGGCTAAAGGGGTAGATGTTCCTCCCAAGGGTGGATTCAGTTTTGATCTCTGCAGAAGGAATGATATGCTTGAGAAGAAGGGTCTTAAGCCTCAATCTTTTCTCAAGACAGGAACTACTATTGTTGGTTTGATTTTTCAGGTTTGAGTTTGAGTGTTTTTATTTTGGTGATTCTCAGTCATTATCTTACTTTGTATTGGCATGGCCCTTTATTATTGTTATATGATTTGTAAGTAATGAAGCTTAGCACTAAAGGGATTTCATATATATTTTGGGTCTTTATTATAACCAGAAACCACAAGTAGCATACTTTCTTTCCACAACTCAAATTTGAAATTTACTCATACTTCCTGCCTAACCCTTTACTCCTTATCTCGTCTCATTAATTATGACTATATCAAGTGCAAAATGTATGTATTGAGGTAAAAAGATACAATATCAAGGGTAAAAAGATGTACTCAAGGTTGATGTTTGGTGCAATGCAAACCTATTGTCATAGGAAAATCTTATGTTACAATTCGATAAGTATGCGCTTTGCATACTTTTTGCTGCCCCATCATACATATCCTTTGTAGTTCAAATAAATGTCATACAAGCTCCTTTGTGTAGCACCCTATAAAAGGAGTTTTCTAAGTCAATGAAGCTCATGTACTGGTTTCCTTTTGTAGCATTCCATCAAACCCCATAATAGGTATATGCCTCCATCGTTGACCTCCTTGGCATAAAATGATAAAACCAAATTGGTTCTCTGATAGTAAAATGTTAAATTGTATTCTAACATATATGAAAGATTAATTTTCTCTTCTGCATAACATTTAGAAATAATTGGTAATAAATGTAGGCAGGTAACTATTGAGTGGTTTATAGAAAATAAATAATCAACTACCTGTAGAAGTGCTTATCATATTGAACTCAGTAGTAGTTCTTGAGTCTTGGTTTCCAAGTAGTTTTATGGAACTGCATTTGTTGATTGAATATTTATTTTTTAATGTCTGATTTGATAGTATATTCTAATATTGGTGTTTCTCACATAAACAAATTTGCCTCAGGATGGTGTCATTCTTGGAGCAGATACAAGGGCTACTGAAGGACCCATAGTTGCTGATAAAAACTGTGAGAAAATTCATTATATGGCACCCAACATATATTGCTGTGGGGCAGGCACTGCTGCTGATACAGAGGCAGTAACAGGTATTTCATATTTGTTAATATGATCATGTGCTTTTTGTTAGACCTATATTTTTTGGCAGATTAGAGGTAGAACACCTGGGTAGGGGAGGGAGGATAAGTGGTCTAGTGGAGGATTGAATCTTTTGTCACTTTTCATCACATCCAAGTCTTAAAGACTTGGGCCAGCTACAAGCTTGTTGCCGCGTTTTACCTTTTTATTTCATGCCTTACAGCTATTTTCACAGATTAGTTTTCAATTGTCACAATATTGTAGTTGCTGAACATGCAGCAGCAACCACATCAGGCTGCAATTGTGGTCTACAGACTACAATGGTAACAATTCTTGCAATTTAAAACTATGGTCATATGCTAGTGTCTAGGTTTTTCCCTGGTTAATACAGTAGAACTGTTGAAAACGAGAAGTTTGTTCTTTATGCCAGACATGGTTAGTTCACAACTGGAACTGCATCGCCACCATACTGGTCGAGAATCAAGAGTTGTTACGGCACTGACACTTCTGAAGAGACACCTTTTCAAGTTGCGTTTTAGATCTTCCCTCAGGTAAACTTGCTCTCTGCATTAACCTCTTATTCTGACTTTCTAAATTATTGTCCAGTTACCAAGGTTATGTCCAAGCTGCATTAGTGCTTGGCGGGGTTGATGTCACTGGACCTCATTTATATACAGTGAGTTTGTTGCTAAAACTTTTGATCTTTTATGCTCATCTTTCCTTGTATTACATATATATACTTTTGTTTCTTGTGACCTTTTGATGATACTTTTTGCAGATTTATCCACATGGGTCAACTGACTCACTTCCCTTTGCGACAATGGGATCAGGTTCACTTGCAGCAATGTCTGTGTTTGAGTCTAAATTTAAGGAAGGCTTGGCTGTAAGTAAGAACGTTAAGGATCAGAAATATTTTCCTGTTCAATAGAGTTCTGTGATATAAGAATTTTGAGAAAAGACACCCTAAAACTTGTTAGACACTTACATTTGATAATAGTGTAATATGGTATTGATTTTATATTTCCTTCAATGGTATGGTATGAAACCAATATGTGAATTATAAGTTTCTACCAAAGAGACACATTTAATTGATATTAGTGTTGGCTGTGCTATAATGTCCTCAAATTTATTATGTACTTTGTCAGAGTTTTTAACTTGGCATAAAAATTTTGTTCTGTTACAGAGAGATGAAGGAATAAAGCTAGTATGCGAGGCCATATGTGCCGGTATATTTAATGACTTGGGAAGTGGAAGTAATGTTGACATTTGTGTGATAACCAAGGTTAGTGTCCTGAGTTATTTTCTTACGGTAAGAATCTAAAGAATCCAATTTTAATTTTTATGCAAATTCTTATTTAATACTGCACAGGGACACAAGGACTATCTGAGGAACCACCTCCTGCCGAATCCTCGAACCTTTGTCAATCCGAAGGGTTTTACATTCCCCCAAAAGACTGGTTAGTAACAAACCTTGCTAATTTATTACACAAGAGACCATTGAATAACTTTTTGTTTGAAACTTAATGATCTTTGGCATTGGGACATGATTTGGTTAAGTATCACTTGTGTTTTGCTGCATTGTGCAAGCAACTTAGGTCAATGTACATCCTTGACATTTAGAACTGTGAAGTTTTTTCTCATGTGAAATGAGTGATACATGATCTCTAACGTGTTATATTTTGTGGCTGGTACAGAGGTTCTGTCAACAAAGATTACCCCCTTGAAGGAGAAGGTGGAAGTGGTTGAAGTAGGAGATGCTATGGAAGTGTAGTAGCATGATGTTTTGCAAGTAGAATTGATTTTGATGTTTTATATCTCTACTTTTCATTACTTTGACATGTATTTTACCTCAACTGATATATATTCCATTGGTCATTTTAAGGTATTGGTTTCAAATTTTATCTTTTCATAGGCGTCTCTTCTTCTCTTTTCCAATTTTGGCTATAAATTGCATGACACATCAGAACACCAAAGAAAGGAAACTGCTTACAAGATAAATAGGTATAGAGTCACTACTTGATTATTGAATAGTGTTTAATGATAATCTAGTGTAAATGACATAATAGCAATTATTTTAATAACATAATTCACCCTATTGTCATGTTGCAGAAATATAGTGCCTGAGGTTAGTCTTTTAATAGCAAAGTGTTCAAAACCAACAACTAATATCAAAATCCCTCAATCTTCAATGTGTTTTGATTTCTATTTACCATCACTTTCTATTAACTATCCCTCAATCCTTGTAAGAACCCTGGCATCCCAAAAACAATGAACAAAATCATAAATGCTCTTTACTTTATTTAAAAAATTATTTTTTTAAATGGGTTAAGTAAAGTTTTAATTTTTTATAAATAATATTTGTTAACATTTTTAAACACACTTATAAGTGAAATTTAATTTTACAAAATAATTCGTACAAATCAATACAATAAATATATATTAATCTCACAAATAGTACTAACACTAAAACTAACAAATAAAATTAAATATTAATTAACTCTTTTTTATTAAATTACTAAATATATTCTAAATCAGTAAACATATCCACACTATTCTATCTTAAGTCACTAATCATATTCTAAGTCATTATCCTATTTTAATTCATTAATTATATCCTAAGTCACTAGATATTTATTATTATAATTTAAAAATATAGAAACCAGTTAGAAGATTTACTCGAGTGAAAGAGCTCCAAGAGAAAAAATCTAGAGAGAGTTTAGAGAAAATGAAATAATGAAATGAAAATAAGAGTTGCACAAGGCATAATTCACCGCCTCTTCCACCATAATGCACATCACTAGATGCATTATTTTCATAATTGCTTTTCAAACAAAATTATTTTTATAATTATTTATTAAATTACGATATTTAAATTTTTGCCTTATGTATCATTCCTTTTAAAATTACGATAATTATTTATTAAAATTCTGATATTTTCATAAACGCTTAACAAAATGATAAACATGATTGCCTTATGTATCCTTCCTTTTAATTTCCACTACTCGATATGACTAGTGATGTGATTTAATCGCCAAAGGCATTATCAAAATTGAAAAAGAAATACTAAAAAAATAAATAAAATAATGAATAGAAATAAAAAAATAATATTGTAGATGCTTGTTTCGGACACTGTTTGTTTGGGATTCAAACCCATCATCAACACTCGACGTTCCCTTCTTCCTTCTTCCTTCATCGTCCTAATCTCCAACTCGCACCGAAACCAAACATAAACTTCTTCTTCTTCATCACTCTCACTAAAAGACGTCGTTTTTTTACCTCTAAGCCATGTCGTACGACTACCTCTTCAAGTACATCATCATTGGCGACACAGGTTGTTCTTTCCTACCCTCTTTTCTTCACGCAATTGGGTCTCCAATTCTCATTCAAAGTTTGGTTTTTTCTCTGTTGCGGTGCAGGTGTAGGGAAATCATGTCTGCTCCTTCAATTCACCGACAAGAGGTTCCAACCCGTTCATGATCTCACCATTGGTGTTGAGTTTGGCGCTCGCATGGTCACCGTCGATGGCCGACCCATTAAGCTTCAGATATGGGATACGGTAAGTTCTCTCTACTTTTTTTTATTATTTTTAATTGTGTTTTTTTTTTATGAACAATTTTTTAATTGGGTATTTTAAGTTAGGTGAGAATTGACTAAAGAGTATGTACTTGAACACTAGAATGAACTATTTGTATTAATTGGTTTGAATATTTTTCGTAAGCTTGTCTTAATTTTTTTTAGTATGTATGTTTTTTGTTGTTGTCTTGATTGTGTAATAGGTAATGAGATTGTAGGGCCATAATTAGTAATTGTAAGGAAAATTCTGAATCTTGTTAAATCACAAGTGATGCTTTAGGGGTTAGAAGGCAAAAGAAAGGAAAGTGCAAGCTAGTTCAGATTTAAAGGGTTTGACGGATCAACTATATACATGAAAAAAAAATAAAAAAATTAGAATGCTTAAAATCTGTTTTAGGATGAAAAGTCTGTAGTTGAACTTGTTCAAGCAGATATCACACACACAACCTATTATCTGTGTTCTAGGTTAGTTAACGCATCTTTTTGTTTGTGGTACTGGTTAATTTTCTTTATATTTATCAAGCATTCCAATAAGATAGTCCTAAAAGTTTGTTGTCATTCGACCTAGCAAAACTAGTTATTGAAATTATATCTGATAGTGACAACCATTTAGTATAATATTGATCCACACGTTTGTGCTTTTCAGTTTTGTATGGCTGAGCCTGGGATTACAGTGCTTGGCCTTGTATGGTTAGATTAAGTTGATACAGTAATGAATGCTTTCATTGCTCCTCTTGATCAACAACATGAAGGTGTATTTGTTGAATCTGAGTAAGATCAAACAGTCTTATTATTGCTGAGTATAGAATTCTTTAGTCATATACTTTGTCCAAGTGTGGATCCAATGTTTTAGTTTTCAATAACTTCTAAATACTGATGCAGAATGCATTGTTTAACTGTAGGCTGGGCAAGAGTCTTTTAGATCCATCACTAGATCTTACTACCGAGGAGCAGCGGGGGCACTTCTAGTTTATGACATTACAAGGTGGGTGGTGCTATTGTTATTTTGAAATAGAACTCATGGTCTGCACTTCTACTTTTATGCATCCGAGATGTTCAATATGTGTGCGATAGAAGTGAAATGCTGTATAATTGTGCTGTTACGTGTTTGCAAACATTGTGGGCTGAGTGAAGCTTTGATATTGCCTGCAATAGAAGTGAAATGCTGTATAAATGTTTTGTTACGTTTCTATTCTTTTGATCTAGGAGTCTAGAACATTTGTGTCTTAGTTTATTTTCAAACTTCAAAGTTTAAACCATCTTATATGATTTTTCGGTTTTCCAATACCTCATCCGGGGAGCGCTAGTACTGCTAGTTGCAATATGGGGGTCTCTATTTTTTTGTCTGTTTCTAAGTGTATGAATGTATGTGATATATATCCTGCGGGCCTCTAAACAGTGTACTTTTGTTTCATGTAAAACAAAAAAATATTATGTCCTATGCCGTTTCCCTTTTCTTTGATGTTTTTTTTATGTGATGTTGGGGGTTAAATCTGAGGTTTTTTCACTTTTCTAATCATGCCATCAACTGAAAACCAGAATCTTCTTTTGTTGACCAGGAGAGAGACATTTAATCATTTAGCAAGTTGGCTAGAAGATGCTCGGCAGCATGCCAATCCTAACATGTCAATCATGCTCATAGGGAACAAAAGTGATCTGTCTCACCGAAGGGCAGTGAGCAAAGAGGAGGGCGAGCAATTTGCGAAGGAAAATGGACTTTTATTCTTGGAGGCTTCTGCCAGGACAGCTCAAAATGTGGAAGAGGTGATTTATCTCAAATCAATAGCAAGCAAGATACAGCATATGTGCTTTGCAGCCTCAATGATATTGTGATTTTCAATACCCACAATAGTAACTTAGTGCATATTCTGCAGGCTTTTATAAGGACTGCTGCAAAGATTCTTCAGAATATTCAGGAAGGTGTCTTTGATGTGTCCAATGAGGTAATTATCTACTGTGAGTTTCATGTAAAAAGTTATGAGAAATTAGTAGTTGTGACAATATCTTGGACTTTGGTTGTTAGTGCATATTCTTTCATGTGATGTTTTTATCTTGCAAAGAGATTGAGATTGGAGCAGTGGTAAAACTGCTCCTTTATGATTGAAAGGTCACAAGTTCAAATCCGAAAAACAGTCTCTTTGCAAATATGCATAGGTAAAACTGTGCATATAAGGATTGTCATCACCTCTATCTTTGTTAGTCGGGGTTTAATGGAGATTAGTTTTTATTTTTTTTACTGTCAAACTGGATGACCTACCCTTAAGAAATGAATCTATGATTGCAGTCATCTGGTATAAAAGTTGGCTATGGACGTCCCCAAGGTCAACCAGGTGCCAGAGAAGGAACTGTTTCTGCAAGAGGTGGGTGTTGCAGCTGATTGAGAGGAAAAACAATTCTGAAACTAATCCTTTTGTGAATCTATTTCTAGCATTCCCTGTCTCAACCGAGTGTATACTCTTAGACTTGACATGGAACTTTTGGATAACACTACAGTTACATGTATAGGTCTAATCTCAAAGGCATTCTTGTGACAGATTTGACTACATAGTTGTTAAGATCTACTAAATGTTTTAAATGATTGCCTGTGTTGTGTTAAATTCCACTATGAAATTGTTTAATGCCAGGTTTTTTAGTTGCTTATATTCGTTCCATTGTTACTTGCAATAACATATACATGGAGAAATTTTTTAGTAGGTACTCTCTATCGTAGACACTTAATATTAAACATGTATGAAGATGTGTAGCTCATGTTTAGAATTTTATCAATCTTTAAAAAATGTTGTTATACATGTCAACAGTTGAATTGAGTGTCTAAGAGATGATGTGATCAACAACTCCTACATATGAATTTATGTACATGCGTGATTTTTCTTTTATATTATAGTTGTTTATATTTCTTTTAAAAAATATTACTTAACTTTATAATGAATTTAATTTTGATTTATTATTAACTTGAAACTTTTTTACACTCATTGCCATTTTTTTTAACCCATTTTACCGTGACACAATTTGAAGACTGGGATATATTATAATTTCGTTGAACTTCTGTTGACTATCGTCTAATTTTGATTCAGGAGTAACGTAATTTTTTTTTACAGTGGGATACTGTGATTTGACAATTCATTTTATTATATTAATTCTTGACAATTCATAGTGGGATACTGTGATTTGATTTAACTTTTGTATTTTTATATATAAGAGAAATAAAAACAAACTATATGCGACACATACGTCAAGACCACCACATAATCCTTGAGTTGCCAATCCTTTTATAAAAGAAGGGTATACCAAGCCTTTGACCGATGATTCTCTTAATGGGAAATGCATTAATATTATGATTTAATAAAAGAAATTCATTAGCATTTTATGACAGTATTTAAATTTTGTTAAGAGGAGCATGTTTGAATTTTTTTTAAGCTAGAAATTACGTATAAGTTAAACCTAAAAAAAGAGCTTAAAAAAAAAGTTAAAAACTGTTTGATAATTACATAAATTTTTTAATTCAAAAGTACATATTTCAAAAAAACTATCTCTCTCTATTTTTATAACTCTTCGTTATAAAAAAAGCACATAATTCAAAAAAAACATATAAGAGTTTAAAAAAAAGTTCCTCCTAGTAGCTTTTAGCTTTTTTTTTTCATTATAAAAGAAAAAAACTTTTCATTACAAGAACTTTTTTCAAAATTTATTTGACCTAATTTATGCTTAAAAGTAACTTCTAGCTTAAAAAAGAAGTACTAAATATAATTAACAATACATCTTACTTTGTCTATTGACGTCCACAGAAAAAAAAATGTTTAATTTTAATGAGTTATTATAAATTTTTTTAATGTATTATTACATAATATAATATTCACTGATCATTTAATGATTTTAACAACTTACATGTTTTATGTTAATTGCACATAAATTAAAGGGGACGGTTATACTTATCATCAAGTAAGTTTATCATTTTTACAACTAATTTCATCACTATTAGATTGGAGTTAAATCTAACGGTTTTGTTATAAAAAATAAAATAAAAAATCTAACGGTTTATAATTATCCCTTATTATCTTAATTTTTACTCTCTCTATAGGTTTGAGATCTGCACATATCTGAATTCAAGTTTCTATTCCTTATTTCAGTTTACTCAAAATCTTTCCATGACCCATCTTCTTAGTCAACCTAGTTTTCTATTATGTCTATCAAACCATAATCACAATTTGAAGGGAAAGAAGGGCAGAAATCTCGTTCTAATCCATCGCGAGATTTTTGTTTTATAAAGTAATGAATTATATATGTTTACCGAATTTTTCCATTACTTTAGTAATTCATTCGTTATAAAAATTCATTACTTTATAAATAATTCTTCCAATGAATCTTGATCATGATTAGAATCACTATTATCTTGAACCTGCTGATAAACAAAACAACTTTAGTTCCACAAAAATTATATATGGACAAGCGCGAACTCACAAACACAGATGAACCTGGAAGAATAGAAACTTGAATCCAGAAAAATTTGGAGGAAGAGATGTGCAAATCTCAAACCTAGAGAGAGAGAGACAAAGAGGGTATGAGAGAGGAAGAGATATGCAGATCTCAAACCTAGAGAGAGACAAAGAGGGGATGAAAGAGTGAAAATTAAAATTATAAGGGATAATTATGAACCGTTAGATTTAATTCTAATCTAACGGTGATGAGATTAGTTATAAGGATAGTAAACTCATCTGGTAGTAAGTATAACCGTCTCCTAAATTAAATTCCAAAATATATAGGTACCGGGTAAATGCCCCCGAACTATAATGCTTAGTTTTGGAATTTTACCCTCGAGACTTCTATTTTTCTCATTTTCATTTTTATTTTGTTCTTTGCTTCCTTGTATTTCAGGTTCGGCAGTTATCATCTCCACAAATAAATAATCCTTTTATAACTTTTTATGGGTCAAGTGCCCTTATAATATTTAATTACAAACCATATATAATTATTAATTTAAAAATTTATCAATCTCCAAATTTTCTTCGTTAAATATCATCATTAGATTGTCGTCGGATTTATTTAAGTCTCTAAAGGAATAAAAATAGCTTTTATTCATAACATACAGGAAAAAAATTGCATCAATTTGTATAAACTGCCACGTCTCTTCAATTAGAAGACGGAAAAAATAAATAATGTAGTTTATCAATTCGTAATTGATGAATCATGATAGTATAAAATTAAGTACAAAGTTTAACTCAAATTACACGCATTATGTACAACATATTTGGAGTCTACAATTCATAAGTGGGAAAAAAAATTCATTGAAAACTAAAATTTGCCCAATTTAGAAATTTCAACTCACGTTAAAATCATTGCCAGTTATGATCAATACAAAATTGTTTTATAGATAAACCATTACAAATTAAGAAATACATCAAGAAAGCATCACCCTGACTCACTACGGTAACCAAGTACACAGAAAATTGCAATGCACATGCTACCTTTGGTGGTGCTATATTTTGGCTCCTACTGTCGAGGGTATCAATACATGCATTATGAGCCGCCAAATACCTGCAAGGAAAATAGTGGAAAACCTTAATAAAAAATAATGATTTTATGCATTAAGTTATGACAGTTAAAAAAAGGAGAGAGAGAGTGAGAATAATAAAAAGCATAGCACAAAATGAGACACCATAGAAAAGAACTATTATATCTAACCAATAATGAAAGTGATACTTACAGCATCTAGCATATCATCAGAGAGTTCATTTTTACTTTCTTTAGCGTTAGCAGCTATTGGCTTTGTCTGATTGAAATGACGAATCGCTTTTGTCACTTGCCCTGAGTCTTGTTGAACCTTCTGCTTCTGTGAAAGCCGAATAAAACGATATCAGTGTGACTGATTCCTCAATATGCACAATACGCATTGAAATTTGAAAAATGCAGATGAAAAGAAATAGCTTAATGTATCATTCAACTTTCTCATTACTATATTTAGGAAGCATGTTATATAAATAAGTCTGTATGATAAAAGCATAAGCAAAAGAACACCACATAATCGTCAAAGAAAATGCAAGATGAATCACAAATTCTTCCATAAATAATCCAAAATGGCTACATAAATAATCCAAAACAAGTTCTTCCATTACATAAGACAATCATAGCTACGTAGCTTGCCAGTCTACCCTAGTTTTAAGGGGTTAAAAATAGTGCAAGAAAAAGTTATACAAGTCACTGATAAGCCCATGCAGTGGACCACAGACTAAAATGGGGCAGAAATTCAAAATACACAATTTCTGTGGATTGTGAGGAAATGACAGATCTAACAAGTATAGCCTCAAACAACATCAAGGAGCAAAGTAATAAGTCGTAGTCTTTCAAATAAGGAGTAAAACTCAAATTATTAAAAACAAATACCAGTTCTGAGCTTCCCAAAACCCAGAACTATTTTGTCTTGCAAGTCATAAAAGAGCTTCTAAAATCGCAGCAAACTGCAAAGCCAATATTATTAATTTAATTTATTCTTGTTCTAAAAGTTGGAATTTTTTAATTTATCCACAATTCTCATTGTTAGGTTTGGGTCCCAAAAGAGGGTTGGATCCAAAGCCTCTCAAACAGAAAATAGTCTGACAGTCTCAATTAGTTGCCAAAATAAAATTGATAATATATGTTGCCCTGTTGTTCTAGAACAGAGAAAGAATAGATCCACCTCACCAACATTTCAGAGAAAGAAAATTTGTACGGGTTAATCTCAGCAAACAACAGAAAAAGTTAATATTCTGCTTATTTGATATCGCCAAATAACAGAAAAAAGTTACAAAATTTTGTACCAACCAAGGAAAACACAGGAAGAGTTGATAACAGATGAAGATTCGAGAGAACTAATCATTTCTTTTTTTTATTGGGGCTGGCTTCTATCTAACCAAATGAATTCTTAATCAACATATGGTTTCTTGTCTAACGTATTAAATGCATGAAGTATACACCTCCAAAATATTCAAATTGAATTTAATGATGGCAAGGTAACTTAATTTGCTCTAGATTTTTTATAAGGGTAGACATAGTATACCTTCTTTAGCCGCTCCTCTATAGCATTCAAAGCTCGTGACTGATCAACTTTGGAAAGATAGAAATCCCTCTCTCTCTTGGCAGCAGAAAGTTCTACAGCTAATTTTTGCTCCCGAACAGCTTTCTTTAAGGCTGTAGCAAATATATATTGCTTTAGCATAAGCTGCTTAAAAGCTCCACTAAATAAAAACGAGAAACTGATCATGATCATAAAGCGCTTACCTAGTTCTTCAGTCAGATCATCCCATTTGAACTTACTTAAGTACTTAATATTCCAAAGGTCATAGTAGAACGATGATCTCTTCTTCCCCCCTGGAATTGTATACAAACAACACAAATTAGAAACTTGAAAACCAAGAAAATACAGATAGACATGACGACCAGTCCTGCTACTATACAAGTAAACACCACTACGAACACATCATATTTCTATATCACCAAATTTAAAGAACAAAAAAATTCTAAAGTTATAGGACAACATTATGATTTCCATTAAAAGACTAAAGATAAAAGATCAACAGATAGCTACTACAAGTATATAATCCTCCTACCACAACTAAACACCAAATCATTTTTTTTTCACAAAATTTTAACAAGAATATAATAGCCAATGTATGCGATATACTGACATTCTAGAATTGATAGGAAAGAACAATATGGTTTCCACTTAATAAAGAACAAAGAGCAACAAGTGACGGATTTTGATTCAAATACATACCCATCTGTTCACCATTTAACATATTGGCAACCCTCTTGGCAACACTTTTATTGGCGAATTCAACCCATCTACACAATTACAGGAGAAAAAGAAACCAATGATCAAAACCTACCAACATAAAAATCAGTAACCATTTTAAAGACTTCAATTCAGATATCAATTCAATTCCAAAAATAAATAAATACCCTTCTGAAAATGCTTGGTCTCGGGATGCCCGGGACCGCTTAGGAGGCACTTGGGCAGCAGAATTTCCTACATTCAAAAAAAAAAAAAAAAAAAACTTCATCAACCATTGAAATAACCAAGTAATGTATTATACTAGTTTTATAATAAATATTTAGAATTTTATTAAATATAAGACAAACTTTAAAAGTGCATTTATCTCTTAGGTAGTGTTTGGTAGAAGATTTATTTTGGAATTGATGGGAAAGTGTAAGTGACTACTTGTAATTACATTTTGCTAGTATTCAAAAAATTTCTCCATAAATTTATAGGAATAGGATATTGTGACACCCAAGTTATGTTACACCCATGTGACACCCAATCAATCTCACCGTTAGATCGCTTATGTTGATCCAACGGTTATATTTATTTCCATCTTTGTATGGTCATGATTTCCCAAATTTAAAGTGAAAGCATTAAATATGGGAAATCATAACCATACAAATGTAGAAATAAATATAACATATTAAATTTGGGAAATCGTGACCATACAAAGATGGAAATAAATATAACCGTTGGATCAACATAAGCGATCTAACGATGAGATTGACTGGGTGTCACATAGGTGTAACATAACTTGGGTGTCACAATATCCTATCCCAAATTTATACTTAATTTAATAATAATTATGCCTTGCTTTTAAGATTAACGTATACTTTTTAAAAATATAAAATGAGAATATTTTTTTAAAAAAAGTTTTAAAACCCTAAACCCTAAAATTAAAAATTAAAAGAGAGAGAGAAGGGACCTTGAGGAGAAAGAAAAATCCTTTGAATATCGCCGAATTGAGAGAGAATGTGACGAAGCTTGACGTGGTCCATGTGAGGTGGAATGCGACTCAGATAGCACACACCGCGCTTCTCAGCTTCATTCAATAGCACTTTCTGCTTCTTCTTCTTCTTCTTCTTCAAATTCGTGTTGTTCTCACCATTCGATGTTGTTGTTGTTGTTGTTGTTGCATCATCATCAATCTCACGCTCTTCCTCCAAAACCTTCACCATCTTCTTGTTTATGCAGCACCACCAACTTCACCACCTTCTTCGGCCTCAGTTTCACAACTCGAATTTTGCTTCGATTTTAGTCTTTTTCCATGAGTTTGGGTTGGGCTATTTCGGCCCATGGCCCGTATCATTTTAACTCTTAATGGGCTGCCTTAGGCTGGGCTGGACTATAATTTTTGCAGCCCAATTAGTAGGTTTAGAGTGGGTCCACCTTTATAAGTAAATAAAATAATTAAATTTTATCCACACAAAAAAATTACTTTGAGGGGGCGTTTGGTTCAGGAAATTTTTTTAGAATAGTAAGAAAATGAGATAGATAGAGAAATGATTGGAAAGATAGATAAAGTGAGATGGTAGAAAAATGTAAAAAAAAGTTGTTTGGTGGGGAAAAATTTTACTGAAAAATTTTGGTAATTTTATGAAATCAACAGTGCATTAAAAGCCAGATAACCGGTTTTCCGAAAAATCCCACCTTCAAATTGGGTTTCTAAACAGTGCGGATATCTATGTTTCTTATAAATCCAGACAAATTGAATAGATGAGTTTTTGGTGAAAAACGTTGAAACAAACATGGTGTTTCTAAAAGTCATACTTGAGAAAGATAGATATCTCCTGAAAAGCTCCCAATCAAACACCACCTAAGAGAACCTAGAAAATCTCGTTGCCAATAAAGATTCAGAATTTTTTAACAAATTAATCACGAAATTTAATATAACAGACAGTAACATAACCCTTCGCTTTCTTTGCTAGGGTCACATCACAAATATTTGTGTCATTTTGAAATCTTATGTCAGAAAAGCGCTATGATTAACGTTATAATTTTACATTTATTTTTTAAGTCATAAGGTAAATCGTTATTTGTACAGAGATATTTTAAAATTGTTTAAATATGGAAAATTTAAGATTAGCATCTACATCTATCTATATATGTATATTTATGTTAATAATTAAGAATATATTTATATTTTAACTTAGCAGATATTTCTGATCTACATGTTATATTTATTAGAATGAGATAACTTAGCCGGTCTAGTAAATAGACCTTAAGATTTGTAGAGTGAAAAGACACAAACCCAAAATCAAATTAATAATAACCATCGATTGATATATAAGAAAAAAAATATTATTTACATCCTTGCTTAATAGACAAAAACTTACTCTCTGTTTACCATGATTTGCACAAATCCCCATACTATTCACTTCAATTATTTTCATTCCTATCAAATTATATCAAGATAGAATAATACTACACGGATATTATTTCACATTTATACAATTTGTATAATTTAATTATAATTGATCCCACTTGGTTTTTTATATACCTATAATCTGGTTCTATCAATTGACACAAACTTACCCAGTGTTCACCATGCTATATAATAATTTCTACACTATAAACGTAAATTGAAAAATTCCCCCACTTAAATATTTTAAGAAAGACTAACATTACACATACTTTATCTTACAACTACCCAGTACCCACCATTTAATTACAATTGTATATAAACACGTAACATTCATCAAGTATACTACTTCATGCACTCATACTCCAGAACAAAGAAACCATTTCACAAATACGTGAACAATCAAAGGTGAAAAAAAAAATGTATTACATGCTAATTATTATTCTCCTAAAGTACCATTTGTAAAAGCTTAGCTCAACTCTTTCTTGATAAAATCAAAATCATGTGTGAATGAACACATGGGATCTCCATACCAACTCACACATGAATCAAATAAATAATTCTGGTAACTTATGGATTCTCTCTAAAAATAGCAAATCCATCAACAGCTAACAGAATTCATAACAATAAGGTAAAGCCAAAATCTCTAAACACCTAAAATACCCTGTTCCCAAATCTTAAGCGAAGGTTGTCATAAGTTCGAGAGACCAATAAAAGTCTTGGATCATCTTCAGGTATCTCTCGGTCCTGCAATTCCACATACATAGCAGTGAACATCAAGAGTTCAGTCAAAGGACTGATAGCTTAACAGGTCAAATGTCACAATTATAAAACTTTTTTTTTAAGAAATGAATCAATCAACTAAGAGGACAACAATTAGGGAACTAGTCTATTAAGTGAGACATAGTCCATAAAGGATTGACTGAAATAAACTTAAGAAAAAGCCAAGAACAAGAAAACTTCATGTCTGTAAGAGAAATATAATATAAAATTATCAATATTGCATTTATCTATCAACTTAAGCTTTTGGGTTAAATTAGTTTTTCATATGGTATCAGAGCTCTGAGGCCAAGGTGGTCACGAGTTCGATCTTCACTACTCTCATTCTATTAGGTAGGTGAGTTTGTACACTTTTCATCCTTCAATCCTAATGGATTCTTGTATGAGGGGAGGCGTTGCAGAAATATATAATATGACATTTACCTAACAATTTAACCTCTTGAGTTGAACGGGTTCTTTATAATGTGACAACATTTTTCACATCCTCCAACTGTATTCTTTCATTTATTTAAGGGTTTTATAAAAGTTATGTTGTAGGAAAAGTGATTGTGTAATGTTATAGAGATTCGTTTTGCGTGCCGTAGTTTTTTTTTTTTGTTCAAAAAGTGTGAGTCCCACAAAATGTTGTGTGTGTAGGAAACTTTGTTGTGTCATGTTAAATGATAAATGCAAACCCCTTATTTAAACACAATACAAGCATTTTGAAGTATATCTCTATAAGGAATCATTTTGAGAACTTTGAATTATTTTTCTCATTCCTGAACAAAAAAGTCGAGCCACATTTCCGGTTACATTAAGAGTTTGATTTTGATCCATGGTTAGGGAAGATACACCATCATCCAATCACGTAATGCCACAATTATGAAAGAGTTTTACAATGATAATAATCACATCAGAAATTAAACTCTTTCAAAGATGTAACAAAACACGATTGGATGATAGTACAAAAAAGTATGCCAGTGATAGTGGATCAGAATTAAACATATAGAACAATTATTATCCCCAACTCAGAAAAGAGAATTTGCAACCTCTGTACATTGTGCAATTCAAAACAGTTTACAACAAATATGAATATACAAACTATCAAGGAATAAAAAAATTTAAAGCACATAAAAAGATGATGCATTACTGAGGCAAATAACTCACTTTCAAGCCCTGGTAATATGCTTGTACTGCAGCAAATGAAGGGACAACTCTACGAGCTTGCAGCAAGTCCCATATGTAGTTAGCATTAGTATATCCACCAGTCTACAATTTAAGAAACAAAAAAGTAATACACATTGAAAAAGGGGAAACAAATTTAATCTATCTTGTATCAAGCATAACACAAGAGGATATAATTGGAAGTGTTGGCATACCTTTTCACCAGCAGCTCTAAGTAGGAGCTCACTTCCCATTTTGGAATTCAAGAAAAAGTTTCTTTGGTTCATCGATACCTACATTTATAGATTTAAATAGACCAAATAAATCACACAATGTGTCAAAGTTGATGAAGAGGCTATGATAACCTACCAGTATATCTTGAGCAATTTGCATTCCTTTTTCAGTGTACCCAACCATTGCCCCCTCTGCAAGTGTCTGCAGTCATGTTGGTTTGAATAATTCAATATGCATTTTATTCAAATTGTAAAAAAAAAAAAAAAATAGCATTAGTAAACATCAGTGGAGTTCAAGAAGATAAAAATCCTAGACTCAAGTAGCAAAAGTTGGGAAATACAGACAAACTGTCAGCCACATATACCAAGCAAGGATGCTAGAGAGAAAGAATAAATTAAGGAGAACAATCAGCATTTTTAAATTCAGAAACACCCACACGGGCCACGCCACTGCCAGATAGGTACTTATCCACATTACTGATAACCTCAAGATTGTTCAAGCAAATCTAAGGATTCAACAAGATTTGGTATTGAAAGTCCTAGAAACTGTATATGACACAAACTCACCACAAAAAGTTCTGCAGCAATTGCCTTTCCTGAATTTATGTAATCCTCAAAAGTTTGAAGACCACGGTCAATACCTCCTGCATAACAATAGCACCTGCATAATAACAGTAATGAGAAAGAAACTGAATTTTTTATTATGCAAGTGTAATAAAAAACCAGTTGAAAAAACAGCAGTAAGGAAGAAGGATCTAGTTTAGAACCAAAAAAAAGGTTCAAACTGTAACCATATTTGCTCACTTTACCAACCATACCACATCCGAGTTAACCAAGTTTAATGGTTAAAAGTATGCCCTTATACACTCAGTTCAGAGACTATTATTAGAAGCATCTTCTATTTGGTTAAGATTTACTGGCTTTTTTTGTTGAAATTAAGGGAAAAGATGGAAAAGAGAGAAGAGGCTTTGAAAAATATTCTGAATATGCGAGATGTATCACAAAAAGTTAACTTAATCTTTTATTTATACTAATAATATAGGTCAAGTACTAGGGTAGTAGTAGTACAACTTGTACAAGCACAGCCTAATAAGATTACAAACATAATAAGACTCCTAAAACAATATCAATCCTTATATTCTAATAGTTTCAAATCAAGTCTTAGTAAACTTTGTCAAGTGGTTAACAAGTCCTGCTCTAAATTTCGGCTGAGGCTAGGAGTAATGGTGCCTTATTTGCTACAGCAATAAATGCTTAACAAGTGATCACCAAACATAGCTGTCTGGGTTGCAACACAAATCATTTTAAAATAGCAGACTCGGCAAAACATACTTCTCATTTGGTAACCCTCATTCGCATTCATTATTATATACTTGAAAAGATTATTTAAATTGTACATTTCTTCCTACTTTTTTTAGACTTTTATTTTTAAACATATTACTTCTATTCTTCATGAAACTCTCCTTCATATTCTAGATGTAAAAAGGTTCTCATTAAATTAACCTCTTTTAAAAGAATGTTAAGCGGAAAAAAAATGAAAAGACCAAAGTCTAGATTGCCTGTTCTTGAAAGCTTATTACATTTCATAAGCATTGCAATGATTAGTGCAAGTATAATTATGCTTTAAAGGTGTTTGCTATATCCATGTCAAGAAATACTATTAGAAGAAATTAGGTGTTTTTATAACAATTTGCTACAGGGTGAACTTTGGAGCAGTGGCGGAGTTGCTTCTTGTGACCGGAAGGTCACGGGTTCGAGTATGGAAACAACACATTTCCAAAAATGTAAGGGTAAAATCGACCTTCATTCCTAGCCTCGCTAGTTGAAGAGCCTTGTGCACCAGAGTTTGCCCCATTTTTTACTAATAAAATGACTAAAACATAGAATGTTAAATGTTCACTGATTAGTGAATTTTATGATTATAGCAATATTATATATGCATTAATAATTTTTTGGTTTTAAAGAACTAATTCACATTGCAAAAGCAGCCCTTGACCTTCTTGAAGGCAACCTTCAAAAGCAACAGTAGATTTTAAGAAATTATTGGCAAGTTAACCAAATATAAAAAAAAAGCTACTTGTTTAACGTAAGTTTTAAATTCCATTCAATCTGAATGACCAAATGGCAAATACCATCCACTATCATACAACTAGCCACTTCCCAGCAAGAGAAAAGAAAAGAAATACCCTATAGGAAAACATCCATCCAACAATTTTCTCTGCATCTGTACTCTTCTCAATTTTTTTTTCTGATTTGGTTCCTTTCACCTCAATTAGGAGCAAGGAAAAGACAAAGGAACTGCTGTTTCTAGCTGATTTGAAGATTTAAGTTTCGGTGGTGATGAAGAAACATGAGCTACTCAAGACTTATGAATGGGCATCAGTTGGTAAGCATTAGCAATAGGAAGAAGGAAACTACCAAAAATATCAAAGGTCCTATGGATGTATATCAATCTCTAACTGATATTAAGAGGAGAAAGAAAAAGAAGATTAAGGAGGCTGATTATCATCATATTTTATGGACTGCTGCTAGTTCTCTCGAATGACATTGTAATTTTCATTTGATTGTTTTGCGACCGTGTGTTCTTTCCTTTATAGCATTTTGTTTGCGACACTTTATGGTGTTAACTTCCCCTTTATGATGATATAATTTGCTAGAAAAACTGATTATATGAAAAAATTTCTTGATATAATTATAAACTAAGAAGTCTTTGTATTTACATTATAATTTTCTATAAATGTCTCTATTAAATTTTGTATTTTTTTTTTATAACATGGCCATCTTGCTTCAACATGGCGCCACCACATCATCCACAATTAAATTATGCAGATTTTTCGCATGGTACCATACATCATTGACAACGATAAGGCACATAAAAGCCTTGATAACGACATGCATCAAAGGCAAGCATAAGAGAAGCAATTAATCAGCACATTAATGATTCAAATAATTAGTGTCTAAATTAAAGCAAGCATAAATTCCATCTCACAGCCTTGGTTAATTTACATACCAACACAAAGCTGTAGTTTGGTAGTATGCATATTCTCAAGTTATCTGAATTAAATTATGCAGATTTTTCGCATGGTACCATACATCATTGACAACGATAAGGCACATAAAAGCCTTGATAACGACATGCATCAAAGGCAAGCATAAGAGAAGCAATTAATCAGCACATTAATGATTCAAATAATTAGTGTCTAAATTAAAGCAAGCATAAATTCCATCTCACAGCCTTGGTTAATTTACATACCAACACAAAGCTGTAGTTTGGTAGTATGCATATTCTCAAGTTATCTGAATGCTACAAACTAAAGAAATTAATAACCAATAATTAATTACCTAATTACTTGTATCATAATATAGACATCAGGGGTTTTCCCATCCTTGTTCAGCATTTCCAAAAGTGTGTCCGTCAACTGCCGCAGTTAGATATCAACCATGCAAATTTTAAAAGACAATTTAAAACAAGAAAAAAGGTAGGCATTAACAAATGTGAAAATAAAATCAATTATGAATAGGAAAAGAAAACCAAATATGTCAAACAGTTCAGGTGGACAGACAGAAGGAAACATTTGATGTTTGATGACATCACAAACCAGAAATGTAGAAATAATAATGGAAAATGTCAAAGTGAATGAGAGGAAATCATCAGGTTCAATTATTGAAAGTTTACTAAGCCTTTATTTTCAAGCTTGACTCTACTAAAGTTTAACCACCATATACAAATGGCACATTTGTACATATAAACGAGAACCTGCAATTAATGGGCCTAAATTTGATCAAAATATAATATAAGGGGGAAACAGGTTACTGTTGCATAAAACACAGATTTGAAATCAGACATTTGGCTCTGATACAATAAAAAAATGTAGCAGCACATATACAGCTCCTTCAAGCCTTCATTGACATATTCATTATTGATATTCAAAATATAAAACTACAAATCTCATATAGGAGGCAAATTTTTATAAATGTTACTCTTTCCTTTCCAAAAAAAATGCCACACTTCTGGGTTTAATTACACCTGCTTATCTGTGATAGGTCTATTTCAAATTTAATAGATAATTGACTGGTTAATTTTTGAACTCCTGGTAGTAACTATGCCTTTGACCTAGCTCATTGGAGGATGATGGTAATGTGCTAATTGAGTTTGTTAGTCCATACCAGAAAGCATATAATCTAATGGTACCCTTAAGTTATATCACTGTTGTTCTCAATCTCTACTTTCTGGTCAGTACAGAGTGTAATCATAATAGGAGAACTTTTAGAAGGTCTACTATCTAAAGGAAGATTAACACTTGCATTCTGGTTTAACAGAAAATGACATGAAACTAATTTTCCTTGCTGTAAGAAAGCCAAAATTATGTTGGTAAAATAGTTTAAAACACACACACTAACTATTAACCAGGAAAGTGGATAATTGGATAGCATGAGTTGGTTTAAACTCCAAAAAGACGTCCAGATTCAAATATCATGCACAACCAACTACAAGATTGATGCTGATAATCTGATCCAACATCTCACAGTAATGTGGTTGAATGATTACACACACACACACTATTAACCAGGAAAGTGGATAATTGGATAGCATGAGTTAGTTTAAAATCCAAAAAGACGTCCAGATTCAAATATCATGCACAACCAACTACAAGATTGATGCTGATAATCTGATCCAACATCTCACAGTAATGTGGTTGAATGATTTCATGTCACACAGAGGCAGTATCAGCAGAAGAGAGGAGAAGCACAGCGAGAACCATTTAACAATAGCATCAAAATTCCTACAGACATCATGCCTCATACCTCAACATTCTTGAGGTCTGCAGCAGCATTAAATGCAACATGATATGCTGTGAAAGGCCTATTTACAAATCCTCGCCTATGAACATATTCAGCTGTTGGTAAGTTGTATAACTCCTCATCTGAAACACCCATCATCACATTCTCAGCATTGGCACTGTCAGTTTCAACTGAATACCAACTCTTCGACCTCTCCACAAAGTCAATAACCTTTTTCCACAGAATAATAAGTTTAAAGATCACTGGACAACTACAGCATAAATGCATGTCAAATCAAGAAATAGATACAATAACTACTTTTGTTGGAAAATCATCAGTAACAGGTCTTTTGTTCTTGTGTGCAACTATAAGCCCAGCATAGCAGAACTTGTTTAATCCCAGACCAGCTGCAGTCATATCACGGACAATTGCATACCTGGATAAATAGATTTTAATAATTAAATATTTCAAAAAATATAAGTGTATAAACGGAGACTCGATGATGCCGATATGCACTTGGGTAAATAAAAGGACAACTATAAGTAGGAAATCCCCTTACCTTACCCAAAAGGAAAAAAGGATATAAATTGTTGGCAAGCAGGCTCTTTTTATTACGCCATTAAGAGTAGCACACATAACATGTGAAAAAATAAAACACCAACCCTTGGGTATAGAATGACACCAAACTAAGCATTGGTAAAAACCTATGAAGCACCGACACTTCAAAAACTCTGACGTGTCGTGTCCGACACTTCTCGACACTCTCGGACACTTCGACACTCCCCGACACTCCAACACGCGTTATAGAAATTCAAAAAAAGGTTCAAAAGTTGATTTGAGTTTGAGTTTTTAGTTCCAACTATTAAATACGTTGCATTACGATTATCATTTTATTGAGTTTAATATAAATATTTAGGATATGTTATGTTTCTTTGCAAAATTTATGAATATTATAAGTTTAGATTCATTTTTTTGTTAAATTATTGATATTAAATATAATATACACTACATAAATTAAAAATATTATTTAATATCAAAAAGTGTCCTAACGTGTCGAAATCTAACATTTTTTAGAATTAACGTGTCGGAGTGTCGTGTCGTGTCACGTGTCCCGTGTCGGTATCGGTGCTACATAGGTAAAAACAAACAATGGAGTCCTGAAGGGAGGAATGGATGGCAAAAGCAATTTTTAGTGAAGGAAGTATTCAATAGTAAAAGAAGTAGCATTATAGCATACACTCGGTCTAAGCGTCCATGTGCTGCACAAGCATGTAGCAAGCAGATGTAGGTTTGTAAATTTGGTTTTACTTCCATGTGCTTCATCTCCTCCAAAATCTTCATTTCAAAGGAAAACAAACAAAAATATTTTACATCTAAAGAGAAAGAAGCAATAAACACTTCCAATGCAGTAGAATTTTAAAAACAAGTCTGCAAGTAGACGGTGATAGGTACCTGAATAGCTTGATCAGAGTTCTGGCATTTCCCACAAGTTGAAATCAGAAAGTTGTATAAAGTTACCTATGTCATCAATATGAAATTAGTCCCTAATCTAGAAACATAAAAACTGGAAAGTGGCATGCACTCTATATGAGAAAACAATTAGAACAATGATTCTGCTCTACTTCAAGTGGCATTAACTTCACAACGGGTTAAAAACCAACAGCCACTGTGATCCAGCCATCCCATACACCCAATCACCGTTTCATATATTGTAAATTACAAACTAGCCTGCATCTAGCTTCAGCCAACTCAAGCCACATTTTTCTGACCTGAAGCCAAGAAACAAAAATAACCAAACTACCAAATTATCTTCCAACACATGCAAGCATGGAAAGATTCTAAAGAAGAAAATAACCTCTATAAAGAAAATAACCTCTATAACTTTAGTTATCACTCAAGATTATCCACACTCTACAAGCTATTATAACATGGAAAGACAGGAACAAAAAAAAAAAAAAAGGTTCAACTTAGCACACTCAAGATATAGAACTAAGTCTAAAATACATTCAAATCACATTTCAGTTGGAAAGAAACAAGCCAAAAGAAGCAGAACAGGTTCTAAGAGCTCCACTTCAAATCACATTATATGTCAGCAACTAACTAAAACTTCAAACAACCAAATAGGTTTCTGACAGTCATCAACAAAATTCACTAAATAACCATTTTCAGCATTCAACTTCAAGCATTACAACCAATAACCCTTATCAATAGCATCATTCCAAGCCTCCCCAGCACAAAAAACATAAATGTATAATACATACACAAGCAAACTAATGAAGAGAACAAAAAGTACATACATCAGGAACCAAACCCATGATTTTCATTTGGTCCATGAAGTAGAAAGCATCTTGCATCCTAGAACCTTTCATGGTTCCAACAACAAGGGAATGGAAAGTGTCACGGGTTGGCTTCACCCCATCAAGCATCATATCATCGTACACATCCCTCAGCAAGAAATTCCTACCAAAGAATCCAATAAACCCAAAAAAATATTAATAATAATAATAATAATAATAACATTTAAAAAAAAAGTGGAGATACCTTCTTTGAGCAGCGATTGAACTCAAGACAGTGTTGTATTCAGCTACATTGTTAGCGTAGTTCCTCTTGGAGTACTCTTCGGGAGAAGCAGAGAAGAATCGGAGCCCCGAGACCCGACCCAATGAACCGCCACGGCCTGAAAAACGGGTTCGAGCTGAAAAAAATGAATTTGATGGTTAAATTCTGAAATAAGTGTTTCTGTGTGGAAATGATGATGATGAAGAAGAAGAAGTACCAATGAGAGATTGAATGAACTTCATGATAGTGGAACCAATTCAGAACACGACAGTTCCTTTCTCTCTCCCTTTGTTTTCTCGTAAAACCCTTCGAATTTTGTTTGTTACTTTGTTCTTTTTGTTTGGGCTCTGGATTGATAGTAGACAGAGACTGAAGTTTGGGCCTGGGCTCATTGCTCTGGACACGTAACCCCAATTTGCAGCCCATTTGATTTTGATAATTGCAGCTCATTTTCATCTTCATTTATATATTCCTTTAGCAATTTCGATCCAAGTATGGTAAAGGCTAAAGAGGCGTTTGGTTGAGGAGAAATTTTTTGAATACTAGAAAAATGTAATTGATAGAAAAATGGTTGAAAAATGAGTTTGGTAAGAAAGTTTAAAAAAAGTTGTTTGGTACCGTAAAATATTAGTAGGGAAATTGAGTTAAATATGCTGAGTGTATGTTTGGTTGAAAATAAAAATTTGATGGGGAAATGGATGGAATTTACGAAAGTAACCTTTTTATAAAATTTTGAACCATTACAACATATAAAAAGAAGGGTATTAATGTCATTGTATTCACCCACTTTTTCATTTCTCCAGATTTTGACAAGAAATACCACGTCTGTAGAAGCATTCTTCAACAGTGAATTTATCCAATTTTAACATGCTTTTGTACTTATATAGCAAAGTGTGTTTGATGGCTAAAAGTAATGGAATCCTTCAACCAAATGAGGAGAATGGAGATTGCTACATGCACTTAGATCGAGAAATTTTAAGAAGACTTGAACCAAACACTACCTAAAGGTATTCCCAAGAATTAAATAATGTTAACTTGACGTGTAAGAGTTGAGTAGGTAAAGATCTATATGTATTTGATCCTCCCTAATAGCATACTTAAAAGAGGTTAAAAGCTTTAATTATGAACTCGTCCCGAACAGGATTACAGATACTTGTGGTTTATTCAAAAAGAAAAGTATTTTCAGGAGTGCTTCTCTAAGGATCCACTTTGGAGTTCAAACAATCACTTTTAACCACCGCAAATGTCACCTGTTGTGTAATACAACATTTCTTTGTTCATTTTTTTCTTTAACTAGTACAGCATTTTGTTTAGTATTTATTGGATTCATGTTGCATTTAAATAAAAAAAAATGGGGCAGAGAATTAGGAATTTCGATTTTCTTGAAAAATAGATACATGGAAAGGAGGATATAAGTGGATTGTGTAGGAACTAAATACATTGAAAAAAAGGTTACTACTTACTAGCATACTCTTTAACATTATTATTGAGTAAAATCTCATGCTTACTCTATTGATATAGAGTGGATCTACATTATTTAGTAAAGTCAATTTGAAATTTTACTCTTATTAAACTTTTTTTTTTAAAAAAATCAAAGAAAATATTATTAACAAGGAGTTTGCATCAAGTTTATCAATGAGTAATAATGCATAACCCATTGCCGTAACTCAGTTTAAGTTATTATTTTGTAGTATTTAAATGTTCATATTGTGTTAATATTCCAATCAAGTGAACAATCAAGATTACATAATGGATGTAAGGTTTGGTAAGTAGTGATATTAGTTGTTATCTGCTTGTTGGCTATAATAACATGCCTTCTTTTTGTATTATGTATAGAAGTTGAAGTTCTCCTCCAGAATTTTTCTCTTATGCTACAAAAGGCCAACAATTTGATGGAAGAGAAAACATTTTACTTTATGAAATATGACATATTAACAACTTCTAGTGGTGACAGATTAGTATGCTTTTACGCAATTACCATTAGTCTAGGAAAATGATGTTATATCTTATTCCATGCCAAAATGCATATTATTATTGTATTAAAAAAAATGCATATTTTTTTTTTTTTTTGATAAACAAAATGCATATTATTTTAATACTGATTATTTACACATTTGTTCATAAAGCATGTCATTTAATTAAAAAGAAAAATGATGCTCACCGTAAGTGTACCGATCGCACAAGTAATATAATGAGTAAGTAGAGTATCGTCTCCACAGGAATTGTAAACCAAGTACCACAATAACCAGTCCCCTTAAGTTGGAAAATTTGGTTGTTTTGGAAAATAGTGAATTGATGGTAAAATAAAGACAAATATTTAAAATATATAATTTTCAATTTAATAAGCAATGATAAAAATAAAATTGGATTTTTTAGAGAATAATAAAAGACATTACAGCTAAGGTTCACGCACCATATGATCCCCACTTTAAACTTTTGATTGATTAACAATGCTCATTCATTTTAATAACTCAGACAAATTATCCTCTAAAAATAATTAGTTAAATTCCAATCTCTGGGCAATTTAACCCTTTAATTCAATTAGAACCCTATTTTCTTAACAATCCCGCATGAAATTAAGCATTAATCACGATAAATTAAACGACTGCAATTCACACAAGTCCATCCCTAGAGCATGCATAAATTGTTACTTTACCCCCTTTCAGAATCAAAACCCCAATATTCCTATTGCGAGCCCTAATTCCCAAATTATTATCTCATATTAGGTTGATTAAGTCTAACAGAAATAATAAACAATACGCACAGGGTAAAAATAAAATATATTAAAATAAATGAGCAAAAATAAATCAATCCATCGCGAAAAGAGTTCACATAGGGTTTGTGACCCTAACTACAATAAAAGAAATTAGTCAGCCATAGACATAGCTGACATAAAATTATAAAAGAAAAAGATGAAAGAATGAAATTACAATAAGAAACTAAGAACAATTCTCTGCTCTTCTCCTTCTTCTGGAAATGTTTCAGTCTCCGTGTTGTAATCTCCCTTGAAAAAGCCTCGCAGCATCCTTTTAAATTCGGAATTTGACTACAAGCAGAAGTTCGCGCGAGTCGCGCCATAGTGGCGCTGCACTCGCGCAAAGTCTCTGGATTTTGTGCTGAAATGCATACCCGCGCGGGTAGCGCGGCTCTCCTTTCCTTGTTTTTTCAAAATTCGAATTTTTTCTCACTTTAACCTATAAAAACTATATAAAAAATGAAAAATAAACTGAAATGGAAAACTAAATAATAAAAGTAATTAATATACATAAAATAATCTTTTATGATTAAATTCTTATTATTTTTGGCTTGGAAAATATCACATGCCAGATGCAGATCAAATCATTCCCAGATTTAAACGTTGTTGTCCCCAGCAACGAACAAGACTTAACCCAGGAAACAAACAATATTAATCCAGCATAACAATACATAGACACTCTCAGACACAATATACTAAGCATGACTGATCCAACATCACAAAATTCCAACAATATCATCAGCTTCTTAAAGATGCAAGTCTACATTGATTTTCCCTCTCAAAGATAAATAATATTCACTCAACACTCAGTGTTTTAGGGTATCATGAGCACTTAATCCAACACAGCTATAACACTACCATAAGCTTGATAATATTCTCAAAATTCTTAAAAATAAAGAATCAAACACATGCACTAGTTGATCAAAAGCACTTCACAGGTTGTATCTTGGCCGGGTTAAAAGGGTAGGAATATATGGAATAATAGCTCAAAACACCAATGAGATTGAAAAACTGATACTCTTACAATTTAGCACATTCAACTCAATAATCTTGCTCCACTAACATTTCTACAGAATTTTGAAAATTAATTCCTTTCAGCCACCTTTTTATGCATAAGTAAAATATTTTTTTTCAGGGTAAAAATAGAATATACATCCCTTAATCACTTAACCTTTGTGGAGCTTACCTCAATTTCTTTATTTATTTTTAACATATCAGTAATTCAATCTCAATCAGGGTAAGTCACATGGATATAAGCTAAGCCATCAATCAGGCCAACAGGTCATTTATCAACAAAATATGCTCAGGCTCAAGGGACTAGCAATGGAAAATTTTCATACAGGTGAGCTATTTTGACCATAGGCTAACAAGAACAAAATGCCTTAATCATCTCAACCAATGCATATATCATAGAGAAACAACTTAAGTTCTAGAGTGTTATAATTCAACGGTAGGTGTATCCATTACAAACATAACATGTGAAAATCAGGTATGATACTACGGACTAACCAGAATTTGAAAATGAAATTGTGTGATGTTTGATAAAAAAAAAAATCGGAGACAAGTAACACCTAACCGCGAGTGGCTATCGTTAGCCCATACCTATGGGGGATAGATGCCTATTATAATAACCCTAATTATATGACTTTTAAATTGAAGGGTTATGACGAGAACCTTATGGTCATAAACAGAATGAGAATGAAATTCTTCGGCTATAGTCTGAGTTAGAAGCTAAGTCCGGTTTAATTTTGCAGACAAAATTTCTAAAAGGAGAGGTGAATATAACAACCCTCATTATCAAGTTAGATTAATTAAGGAGATTACGATAATTAAGGTCAAATAATGGTTCATTGATCATGAAATTATCATGACAAGATGTAAAAGGATAAAATTATTTCAAGTAAGTTTAATAAGACCTTAATATTAATATTAACAAGTTTTAGTGTCAAAGATTAATATGAGAAAGTGTGGGAGTTCAATTATAATTAAACATAAAGTAGTCTAAGATTCAATTGGATGATGTAATTAAATTCATTAGGGAATTTTAAGAACTTTAAGGGGGGTTGTAGTGTTGTTTAAATAAGTCTAGATAAATTGTAAAAAATATATATAGAGTAAAGGGTTGAAGAAGGTAAGCTTATGATCTTGTAATTCAATTAGTTTCAAAGTTACTAGTGTTGTTGTGATAAATTAAATAACCAAAAATCTGATCCATCCTCTTGATCCAAATCAGCGCATAGGCATAGCATTTAGAGTCTAAATTAGTGTTTCCTTTACCTAATAAGATGGTCCCTCCATTAACTCATCACAACCACTCTTGTTTCTTTTCTTTTCTTGATAAATTAAATGACGAAAATCTGAATCCCTCTTGGTCCAAATTCAGCGCACATGTAGAGTATTTTGAGTGTAACTCAGTGCCTTCCTTTCTATTAAGTTGGACCCTCCACTAATTCATCATAACCACTCATGTTTCCTTTCTTTTTTTGATAGATTAAATAACAAAAATCTGACCTCTTTTGATTCCAAATCAGCGCATAATGGAGAGTAATTGGAGTGGAATGACACTAATCAAATAGAAGCATTTATGAATTGGTTGTCATGGTTGGTCCCTCCATTTGCTAGTCTTAGCCAACCTTGGTTGTCTTCCTTTCTTTATTAGTTGGTTGTATTCTTTTCTTTCTTAGTGGGCTGGTCCTCTTTTGTCTTCTCAATAATCATACGTAGCTAGCCCTTGGTGGAAGGAATCAATTGTTTTAAAAATGAATTGATAGATAAGAAGGTTGACAAGGGGATTTAATCAAGTTAGGCCACTCCTAAGCTTACTTGGTCGTTGGGTTCTCTTAGTAGTCATTCAAAAATCTGCCCATTTTCCTCTAACCATATCAGCCTAATTAAGGGGAACCAAGAGAAACTAGTGAGTTCATCCTTGTGTTCTTGAAGTCATAATCTTCTATTCTTCTTCTTGTTAAATGATAAAGATTGAGTTCCATTCATGAATCCTACCTATTAGGAGGGCTGTCAACATAAAAGTATTTGTGAAGGTTGTTGATAGATGGATAGTTCATAAGTTTGTTCTCTTCAAGGTAACTAAGGTAACTATCTCTCACTTAGTGTATATGGTTACATTTCTTGAAGGTTGAATATTGGTGTTATGGTCCAAGTAAAATAAAGGTTGATGTATGTTGAAATTAAGGCTTAAGTATTATAAGATTTAAAGAATTTTCCTTAAATCTAGTTAAAGTCAGATTGGTTATTGGATGGCTAAGGTAAGTGAAAATAAGTTTGTATGTTAAGTAATATGTAGAAAAGAGTACAATGTTCAAATTGCTTGGACAATTTAATGTAAAAACATATGGAAGTAAAATTGATGATGCTCTCAGAATTTTAAGGAGTAGTAAGTTCAGTTTTACGAAAATCATATCTCACTCATTTCTTAATCAAATGGAGCGTGTGAGGTACCAAATTGAAGGTATGGATGTCTATTTTCTTGTCCTAAAATATGGGAATTTTATGAGCTAACGTCACTGTTTTCAAAAAAGATTAGTAGGCAGTGTTCATTCACGTCACAGTTTTACAGCAAGCAACAGTGAGTTTACGAAATTCATATCTCCTTCGTTACTTAACGAAACGAGACGATTCTTGTGCCAAATTAAAGATAGAGATGTCTAGTATTTTTCATAAATATTAAAGATTAAACTGGGCAGTACATCATCCCAGAAAAATTAAATAGTCCACGACTCTGTTCAAGTGACATTGGATTTACAGTTTACTACTTACGGCGGACTTATCTTGGGCTGTACTTGTCAGAATAAGGCTTATAATATATCGTTGGAAAGCTTGTGACACGTAGATTATAATGGTTAAGTCTTGTATATAACTTGACTAATTAATATGTAATTAATGATGTGAATGATTCCTACTCTATGTGTGCCTAGAGAACCTTGCACTTGAGGATTGTATTGGAGCATACGTATATTATTGGAGTTGGGCTTGATAAGCTCAGTGAGGTAAGCTTCTAGTTCTGGTTGCTCCTCTCTCTTGTTGCCCCACCATGATGGTGGGCATTATGGTGTTATTGTATGAAAGTATGTGATATACTGTATATGTGCATTCATTCACATTCATATAGATGTTATGATGATGCACTGATAATATATGTTATGAGGATCCTGGCCAGTGATCATGGTATGTAGGCTGCCTATGACTTGACTCTGGGAGCTATTTCATACTGAGGTTGTGTTGACTGTCTATGGCTTGACCCTAGAGTCACACATGTGTAACCGTCTATGGCTTTGACCCTGGGGTTACACAAGGATTGATATAATGATACTATCTTTATGCTGTATGTTTGTTATATATGCTTTATATCTGACTTATTATGCAGGAAGTGGGCTCAAGGGATTAGAGGATTCTTTAAGAACCTTGAGTTTACTGAGATGTGGTTAATCTCACCCCTCTTTGGGGACATCATTTCAGGTACCCATGGTAGCAGTGAGCAATATAAGGGAAATGGCCCAACTATGGATTAGTAGATTGAAGCTGTTGTTTATATTCTGATTAGACTTTATGATGGCATGTATAATGATTAACATGTCCAATTATCTTATTTTGAGATTATGTTATGCATTTATTTTGAATCCTGAATGTAGTATTAGAGACGTGGATTATTTGATGATGCTTTGACGTTTTGAAATTTATATAGAGTATTCAGTTATTTGAGCATGGAGCATTATTGTTTGTATTGACCCGTAAAGGGGATTGCAGTCCGTGTGGGACTTGCAAGCGGTCTGTTTAATTATTGTATTTATCATATAGTTATCCGAAATACAGCCATTATGCTGTCCGCAAGACTCCGTCAGGAATGATACTTAAGGTCATATCCGGATGGTCAATGACCACTAGTGATGGCTAATAGTTTTAATTAGTAGACTTAGACGTTAATGTTACGCTAATGCAATATATCATATGAACGCTTTGAAAATGTTTTAGAAAATATTTTGGAAAAAATTTACTCGTATTTTTATAAGACGTTTTATTATTCTTTAAAATAAAGTCTTCTGCTGTGTATGCTAAATATTATGGATGTTAACAACCGGAGTACTACGAGGTGTTACACCTATAGCAAAAAACAACAAAAGGGTACTATACCTCTATAATTGGAGCAAACTTTTAGTACCACCATTACATTAAATTTAGTGCGAAGGTAATTTATTTATATTAGGATATATATGTAGATTTTGGAATTCTAAAAATTTGTATAGAATTTATTTATGTATATTAGAATAAATGAACTTCAATGCGTTGATAATATCAATGATTTTTCTCTATAATTGGGGAAGTTTGCATTTTTCCTCTGTCCTCATAAACAAAAATATTTTTAGTGGCATTGAAAAAATATCGAGTATTCAATATATTTTTTTATCAAATATAAAAAAAATATTATAATTATATTATATGTGTCTTTGTAATTATTTTCTCTCATATTTATTTTTTTCCTTTTTTTTTGTAAGAGAGTAAATATTTCATTGACACTGAAAAAGTGCTCCCGATAAACATGTGTGGTTCCAAGGTGCCTATAGGCCTATAGTCGGATTCTATTTTATTTATTTTTGGTAATTTTTGAATCAATAAAATTAAATTATTCTAATGTCGCACTTCTAACCCGAATAATAAAAAAGAAAGAGGAGACCTCATTAACAACATTATAATAAAGAGGCTATTTATTGACCCGACCTGGAGGCTCTTCCATCAAGTCCATATATAAGACAGTAATTATGTCTTATCCAAAAAACAATTTATTAAAACTAACTTGACCCGATCAGTCTCATCGGTTGAATCAATTAACCGGACATATATGTAACTTGATAAAAACTTGATAAAGAGTTGATGAATCAATTCAGCTTATATTAATCTGGTATTGATTTTCTGATTGAATTGGTTCCTAAAATTGTGACAAATATTTCACCTCTTGAGATTCAAACTGGTTACCAAATGAGAGGAGAGTAAAATATGAGAGGAGAGTGGATACCAAAAAAATATATGAGAGGAGAGTAAAATGCTAACCATTGAGCCACATAACTTTAATTATTATATTACTTTTATTTATATATTTACTATATATATTTACATAAATTTAATTAATCGGTTGAATTAGTGTCCCATTTATACTGTATTTTTAATAACATTACCCAAAAGAAATAAAAACAACATAAAACCTTTAATAGAATTAAATCACTCAATATGAGTTAAGAATAGATAATGTTTTCTGAGCTTCTCGCCCTATATAGATTGACCGACTGCCCTTACAAAAAGAGATATTATTTTTGTTTTTAAAATTTTGTATACATAGAAAATGGTGAAAATGAGATTTTACTATTTGTTTTACAAATTCATAAAAATAAGAAATAAAATAAAATTTAGAGCAACACTTATAGAATTTTAAATAAAATTCTGTCAATTAAAAGTGAAAATAAAACAAAAAAACTAACACCAAGCTAACACATCCATCAAATTCAGTGTCCATTGAGAGACCCACTATTTTTATTATAATAGGCCGGATTAAGTGATACATCATTTTGATGTATTAAGGGCCTGTTTGGTGTGACGTATAAGGCATAATAGTATAAGCTTATACTATACGTTATGACATTTTCAGTTGTTTGGTGTGACCATCGTATAGTATAAGCTTATACAGCATAATCCCCTAATACATCAAAACGATGTATAACTTAATCCGGCCTAAGGGTGAGGGATAAGGCCTGATAAGAGATTGATGTATTAGCATCGTTGACCAATGTAATTCTCAAAAATAAATATATTATCTTAATATTAATCTATGAAAATAAAAATTAATTTTTCAATATATTAATTTTTAAAATATTGAATATTTTTATTTTTATAAAAATTAATTTATATTTCGGACACACTGATCAATAAATTTTTATAAAAATTAATATCATATGATATTTTTTGAAGAATTATATAAATTCTTTATTAAAGGATATTTTTATTAAAAATATTTATTTTTATCATATATAGTATTATACAGTATATTACCAAATACTAGATGATATTATTTTATATAACATCGTGTCAAACGCTGGATAATATTAAAATTCAATCAGGTCTTATACAATCAGGCTTATACTATCAGGTCTTATACTATCAGACCTTATCCTATACTATGCACCAAACATGCCCTAAGGGATTATGCTGTATAAGCTTATACTATACTGTGGTCACACCAAACAACTGAAAATGTCATAACGTATAGTATAAACTTATACTATCATGCCTTATACGTCACACCAAACAGGCCCTAAAACTCAAGTATGTCAGAGTGCAACGTAAATGACGAGCTCGTTTTTCGTGCTTCGGGAGCTTGTACTCCCTTTCTAAAAATAGGGAGAAAAAAAGGATTGAGATGAACATTTGAAAAAAGAAAAGGGTATAAATGGAAATATCTTTTCCTTTTTTAGTAAAGGACCATGAAATAATGTTGTGCTTCTAGAGCACATTAGAAAAATTCGTAAATGATAGACTTGAGAACGTGAAAAACCACTTCCAAATGCTAAGTTTTCGATCATTTTTTGATAAAAAAGACAATGTAAAGCGAATGAGAAAGAAAAAGAGAAAGAGAAAAGAAAATCAAAACCACAGTTCATACAAAGGAGAAAATAAGGGAAGAGAAAAAAAAACTTATAGAAGGCAAAAACGTCTAAGGAGGAAAGAGCAAAAGACGTAGTTTTTTACTTTTTGAAAGAAAGGGTTGAGAATGATGAATGAAAAAATAAAAAATAAAAAAGTGATTCTCTTTGTGCCCAGGAACAAAAACTTTTTGGTTTTTTATTTTATTTTCCGGCATAAAAATTAAACTAATTCATCTCAAGAACAACAAAATAGATCAATTTTACCAAACGCTGTTTCAATCAAATTTTGTTCCTGGGAACAGTAATTTAAAAAAAAAATTGATTATCAGATGGTTGTCATGCACACCCATGGTAGTTAAAATCCCGATTTAAATCTGTGATTTTATGATTTTTTTAATGAAAACGATTTCATCAAAACTCCAAACACTTTTATGATTTTTTACAATTTTTTTACGTTTAGATTTTACGTTTTATGATTTTTGATTCGTCTTCCGATTTTAACTGCCATGTGCACACCTTTAATACACTTGTCGTAACAATGTAATAGGCCTGAATTTCAAACCAAACCAATCGATTTAGGGCCGCACGATACTAACAAATCTCAAATTTGCAATACTCTTTTAAAAAAAACCAGCCATAAAACTTCACAAGGAAAATCATAACTCTTAACAACAAATAGTTGCTAATAATTGCTATCAACTAGATGCCAGTTACACGTTGATCTCCAATTGTCATCATTGAATATAATAATGTTTTATATCTAAAATAGAAATCTTAGAAGGCCTAGAAGTTATTAAGTTTGGGTTATATTGAATATCCATGAAATATGTCCCACTCCTCTGTGAATGTAATTTAAATAATCGATCTAGCTAATAATGCTCTATACTTAGTAATTAAAATATCCTCGATTATCGAACAATTAAAAAAAGCCCCAATATAAGATTTTACTATGCTCACACTTTAATATTCTCTTTTACATGGACATAATTAACTTCAATGTTAAAGTCTTATAATCAAAAACTCTTCAAAACCCTTCAAAACCTTATTTATCAAAAACCCTTCAAAATCTTATTCAAAGTCTTATAATCAAATACATAATTAATGCAACGAATTTATGTTAAAGTGAGGAATGACAAAGTGGCAATGGTTTTCCTAGTTTCTCCGGTTGCATAAGAAATTATTCCTCTCTTGTAGACCCATTAAATATGTGGGACTCACTGCATTAAAGAGAAAAAAATGGATGAGACATTTTTATGAGTTTGTAATATGGGAATAGTTTATCCCGAGAAACTAATTCCCATTCAATTATATGGCAACATGGTTTATTTTGTCTCTTTGATTGCTTGTTTTGGAGGATTACGTAAAGATTTATTGTTCTTTCCATTATAGTTGATTGTTGAGCGTAGAAGTTGGGAGCGGTAGATGGATCGATGATGAGAATTTAAGATAAGCTTTTGGTGATGCTGTTTGCTACTATCATAATTTTTGTCAACTGATTTATATGAAATTTTGGCTCGTGGACTGGCCCTATCTCGTGGGATTATATAGGTTTTTGGCCCATGCGGGCTTTTTTATTTGCAGGATTGTTGGCCTTAGCTCATGCGGGCTAGGGTCTAACGAGATGAGATAGTCTGTTTTGATGGCTTTACTTTATATGTAAATTAACCCATGTTAAAAGCATGCTTATAGCACTCACATTCAATCAACGACGAAAACCAATTGTTAAAAGTAGGGGTGCAAATAGGCAAAGGTAGACTTTAGCTTAAATAGGTCAGACCTATGTAAAATACTTTAGGCCTGGCCAGATTCGTTAGCTTGTGTACGCCCAAATTATAAATTTAGCACGAGATATATTTAAAAAACAAAAGACTTGGCATAGGCTTATTAGCCTGATTAAGCCTATAAGACATTCAACAATTTAAAAAATAATAATTAAAATAATATAACTTTATTATTCAAAACCATTAAAATAATAATTTATTTATTTTATTTAAATTAAATAATATAAAATATGCCGACGTGTAGACTTA